AATCTGCGTTCAAACGCACATTTGAACGCGAACCCGCGCTCACAGCGTTCAAACGGTTACATAGCCTTTGCCAACCGAAGCTAAGACTGAACATGTCATCCAAAATTTCAGATGCGATGGATATTATAATATGGGTTTCCAAAGACCATTGTATCTGATAGGGATGTAAGGTTCACCGGAATGCAATCATTATGACAAAAGTTGATGGAAGTTTATGGCATCAGGTTGACCATGTCGTCAGGTAGACATCCTGAAATGAATGACCAAACGCTACCGAATAAATGTACCACCACACCTAAGGACTTATCCCGTCTTCCACGCATCTAAACTGCTACCATATATAGAAGGAGATAACTTTCCTAACAGACCATTTATGTTCCCACCCTCCATGAATGGAGGATGTGAAGTTGAAAAGATTATGGAACATGACTACTTCTTTACAGGTGGCAGAGGAAGACCGCATAAACAATACAAGGTAGAGTTCAAGTCTCAACCTTCGTCTGAAGGTAGATGGTTCAACAAGAAAGAATTGTGACCTACTGCTCCTGATATTGTTGCTGCATATGAACGTTGGTTAAGAAAAAAATAATGTGTTTTCTGCGATAAAACTCGAAAATTGGGCCGGCAGGAATGTAATAACCCGTTCATTATGCCTCGCTGAATGGCTAAGGGGCCCACAAGCCGCGACCCTGGCTTTTGGTCGAGAGGTCGAAGGGGCAGAAGGCCCCTTCGAAATAGCCCCAGGGCCTGAGCGCCCGTTATATGACTTCGGTCAACTGCCCGAGGCCCTAAAGTCAAAGTCAAGACAGACCTAGCCAAGGCCGCCGGTCAAACACACTCACTTGTTTGTATGCAGGTACTAAGATAACATCAAGACCAAGTGGAAGTCGGCAACTGTATACAATCCAGGCCCTCGGCTGTGAGTCACCGTGGGTGAGAGACCTAAGGCCAGTCTGCCTCATCAAACACTACATAAGGCTTGGTCTCCAGGGAGTCAACATTCAGTCTCGCTGTGCTTCCTTAACGCTGGCTTGACGCTAGCTGGACGCTGGCTTGATGCTGGCTGGACGCTGGCTTGACGCTGGCACTGTGGACGACGACGCGGGGCTGAGGCAGCACGCTGGCGCCTTCTCTGCTGAGCGCCAGCCTATGCTGATGTGGCACATGCCACCTGTCTTCATTGCTGATGTGGCGCATGCCACCTATCTCCATTGCTGATGTGGGGCATGCCACCTATCTTCATCGCTGATGTGGCATTGGCCACACTGTCTTCACTGGGTGATTGATCGGGACAAGGAGGGAGATCGGGATCTGTGGATGATTAATTGGGATCGGGGTACTTACCTGAGGTTGACGTCAATACTGTGCGCTGCTGATTGTCTCCATCATCTTCACGAGGGAACAGGGCCACGTGGCACTTCGATGTGATCAGAATCTCTTAGACTCGTTGCTGGATACTGATTGATGACGTGGAGGTGAAGGGAAGCCTGAAGGAGTGGGAATTGTTGGGCTACTCTCGTGGTGGTCATTAATGGTTATTATCTCTTCCACCCTCTCATCTGTCTATTCCCCCTCCATTCTCTTCGTCTATTGGTACCGAGACATTGTGTCAGAGGTCACATTCATGATTATTGGAGACATTGTCCAGATCTGAGTTGTCTTGCATTTCGACGTCTGACGAGTATCTTCCAGTCTGGGTTCATTACATGTTAATGACAGGCCATTCTATTTGGGCGACGACGATTGGCAGGCCTTCTTGTGTGCTTGGAGGGTGGACTGCATCTTGTGCCAGTTTATTCTGGATTTCCATTCCCCACCAGGGTGTTTGTGACCTCGGCCCAACCCCGAAAAGGCCAATCGGTCATGTTAGGGCATATTCACAGTCTACGCACGTCGCACTCTAAATTTACATTCTGCTCGAATCCAGAATATCCTAGAGCGAGCGTGCCCTCAATGTTTTCAGTAATGAGAATTTCATCGTTTCCAAAACCAAATCCAAGCCCAGAGTTTTCAGAACAGTTGGTCGAGACAGGATTCTGAGAATAAGCCTTGACGTACAGACACGACAGTGCTCTTGTCATGGTACTGTCAGCATACCGACCAAGACTCCTAGAAGTCCATTCTCACCAATGGCTTTCCATCTGCTTTGGTCCTGAGTACCGCAGGACACAAAAAAAGCATAATCAGCAGCCAAGAAGAATGATCCCTGATGTTTGGTTGATCGTACAGTACAGTCCACAAAACAATTGCCAGCGTTCTATTGTGAATCACGTGCAATGCATAAAAAATAAGCAGTACTTCCTGAAAAGCATTGGGATGAACGGGCCTGCGGTCCTGGGCTAAATTCATTCAAAACGAACCGTCGCCGCACTGTAGCAATGGCTGGTGCATTAACGGCCACTCTTTTCAGAAGTAATGGTCATTTAAATAACCAACAAAGACCCAACACCCTCCCATTTGCGTGTTAAGAAAGTCATGCCCGGCCTTTGCTCAGGGTCGTTTTCTGCCGCCCAAGCACCCCAGACAGTGGGACAACAGCTGTCTCAAACACAGGGTATGCTTTTTCTTCTTTTTGTTGACATCAGGAATAATGTGGCAACAAAGGTATTGCAGTTGTGAACATACCCCCTAACATACTGAAGAGTGTTGACAATGTAGGGTTAAAAAAAATAAAAAAATAAAAATAAAAATCCCAGCCAGTCTATTCTGGTGTGCATTGTGGCGTGCTCAAGATATGTGGTTTATACTACTTTGTAGTACTTTGTATGGCAAAAGAGCTGCTGCTCTGCAGAACCATATAATTTTCCCCATTTGTTTTTCTTTTTGTATTTGTAAAGGAGTAGGCGATATCCTCATTGGATCCTCGCAGGATTTGAATTTTGAACTCTTCGCCGGTTTATCAGCAGTGATGCGTTTATGATTCCGACACCGGCAAGGTACAGATCGTAATCATATACATATTAAATACAGCCCAACCTTGAAACTTTGGTGGCTCTACTGTCGCTCCATCCTGCACCGCTAATTGTCTGCTTGGGTGCAACGTTCACCCAAAGCAAAGAATTCTCTGCTGCCACAAGCCTTTGCTTGTTACTGCAAATGCATTGCAGACCCTTTTATTTACCATACCATTTCATGAATCCTTCCCTTCATCACTGCCCTTTCAAAATGCACCCTCAGCACGACTTAGACGGCCAGCGGGCAAAAAAGCTCCCCGTGCGATCGTACGAACCTCCAGGAAAGGGCCAAACATCCCGAGGCCTTCCGGCATCAGAAAGTCGCACGCTTGGAGGCTGAAAGCTCTCTCTTTGTTCCCTTCTCAAACCACCAGTTCACGGATGTCCAATCTGCGAATCGAACACACAAGTTACGGCTTGCCAGCCAAACACCTAACCAGTAGGCTCAGTGGGCTGGGTGAGAGCGAAGGCACAAGATGAGTGCTTCACACTATCCCAGCACGGATTGCTCCGCCACACACATTATCTCAGCACGGATTGCTCCGCCACACAGTGTGCCCCAATCACACTCATCACACACACATCTCACAACCACAAATCCGGAGTGCAATTTCTAGAGCGATGACATGCATATCCAATCCAAAGAATCGAACACACAACCTGCAGCTTGCCAGGCAAACACCTAACCAATAGGCTAAGTGGGCTGGGGCGAAAGTCGAGCCTCAAGATGAGTACAGATTGGCCCCAGCCAACTGAGAACAACGGATCGGCTCAATCTGAAAAGTACGGAGGCTCAGGGCAAGCGAACCAAAATGGCTGGCGGCGCGGTGCCAGCCAAAACTAAGAACAAAAATGCTGTGCTGCATTCTGACAAAGCTCGGCGCGCTGGGGAACTCCCGCTTGTACAAAAGAGGCTAGGATGCACTGGTGGTTTTAAACAACCAGTACGTTTCCCAGCCATTTTCTCAGAATCGCAGCCTGCATGCAGCCGCAACGCTCCGGAAGTGCCGGGGAAAGTTGCGGCTGCATGCAAGCCGCATATTTGATTCCTTAGCTGGGAAACGTACATGCGGTTCAAGTTCACATCGCCACACATTTTGGGTCCTGATGAGCCCTTCAGTTAAACCACCACTGCATATTGGGAAAAAAACGGCACACAGGTCTGCGTCTGCGACTACCAAAACAATAATTGTCATCATGCCAGGCCACAAAGGCCACTACAGAAAAATAGACGCCTCCCGGAATCCTGGGAGGCTGCAAGATGTAGTGTGACGTCAGGTTCGAAAACTCCCTTTGCCCATCTGCACCTGTGGTCCTGAGCCCCGGAGCCTGAGATCTACAGCCTCCTGCCGCTCACAGCCACAATGACTTTTTTTTGGCCCTAAAGAAAGGAACTTTCTGAACTTTGTGCCTCCACAGTCCACCCAAATTTGCCAGTCAATTATTCGTTTACGTTTGCCTCCCTGATCACAACTGCAGTGGCTTGCTAATCTTTTTTACCCTTAACGCTCTTTCTCGTCCAGCACACACCTGAATTCCGCCATCAAAAAAAAAAAAAAAAAAAAAAAAAAAAAATTCTGCGATCAAAGTTGTGGAAGTTGGGTATAAAATAAAAACTCTCTTTGTGTTGGCCTCTTACTTGCCTCTTCCGCCTACAGTTCGGTTTTGTTGACGCTAAATGTGCGATCTACGCACAGATCTCAGGAATCAAAAATGACTTCACTCTTTCCCGTAACCGTTTCGCAGCATCCCCCTTGACTCTGAGAAAACTATCTTTCTTCAGGATGTTGTCCCCTGCTCTACGATTCAGACCTTCAATGAGCTGCCGAAGCTTCTCGGTGTTACTCGCATTGTAATACCCATGCGAACTCAGCACAACTTCCCCATCTCCTGTCCGCCCTCCATACATCAGCCAATAGGCAATCATGTGGGGTTGCAGCAAAGCGCCTACGTTTCGAGGGATGCGGCGCTGGCCATTCGAGTCATAAAAATGGCAATAGAAGTACCGGAAAGCCGGCGAGGGCTTTGTTTCAAAGCCGAAATACTTCCTACACACTTTGACAATGCACTCTTCGTTGTCCGTGCTTTCGTTGCCCGTTGTTGCCACCGTTTTCTCCACGAACTTCTCATACTCCCTCGGCCTTGACGCCGCCCAATCCTGGAGCGCCTCATGAAGATGCCGGATGACATCCTTTGCACCCGGTCTGCTCTGATCTTGCTCAAACATTACAACATACTCCCCAGACCCTCTGGGCTCCACAGTGGCACCTCCCATGATCGATCCCATGAGCTTGTGCTTCTGATCGTCAGAAAGAGAGAGAACTTTTGTCGTGTCTCCTGCAGAAAGGGAATCACCCTCTGGCCCTTGGGCCCCGGCATCATTCATGGACACATGTTGGTTCAGAGAAGCTAAGGCCATCTTTCTCCCGTAAGTAACATATGCAGGAAGCACTTCCATCATTCGTGAAGCCTCATGATGCAACTCTAAGACCTGCCCCCACTGGCCTGCCCTCACACAGTCCGAGATTAATCGCACATACACTTTCTCAGGATCCACAAGCCTCTGGTCCAATGCAGTTGTGGCCGCTTTACGTGCTTCTTTCCACATCCCTGAGTTGATATATACTTCCATCATCGCCTTGTACGTTGGCCACGCAAGCTCCTCCCCGCGCTCAACCAAATCGTCATAGGTAGCCTTCACCTTGTCAAACATGGCTTGTTCTCCATACATCCTTATCAGCTTGTTGCCTACAGCGACTCGCGAGATCCCTTCATTGAGGATATCAGGCAGAAGCTGATTCTCTACGGCATCGACCATCCCAGCCTTCAGATACGCTTCGATCAATGGCTCGAAAGCAAAGAGTCCCAACTTTTCACCCTCCTTTCGGGCTCGCTCACGGGCAGACAGAGCATCTTGCAAAGCACCCGCCCTCGAATATGCTTCTATGACAGCAGCATAGGCTCGCCACGTGGGGACAAATCCAGCTTCTTCAATCTTTGTGAAGTATTTCTCTGCATGAGCAGGTTCCCCCCACCTACCACTTCCAACCAAAAGGGACATCAGAATCTCCTCCTCATCGGGTTTCCCCTTCATGCTACAGCTCTCCTCTCCACTGCTCAGTGCTGTTCCCACAAATTCTTCTGCTTCATCCATCTTCCCTTCACAACCAAAGACACCCACCAAGTGTGCCAAGTCATCCCTGGACACCACAAATCCCTGCTTACACATTTTCTCAAATACCTCTCGTGCAGTATCCAAGGGCCCGCCGTTCATTCGGCATGCTAGAAGCACGGACTTGCACATGTTTTTGGAGGGTTGAAACTCACTGTTCCTACACATATGTGAATACATCTCCACAGCCTTGGGGTACTGCAGCTTTTTGCAATACATGCTGATCATCGCCTCATAAGCCTCGACGGTAGGGATCATGTTAGCTGTGCGCAGGGCATGCAGAACTTCTCCGACACCCTCGGTAACGCCGCCGCTTCTCTCTGAGAGGGAAACAATCAAGCACGAATCTAGCTCCCGATCCGGAATGTACCATGGCATGCCTCTTGCCCAGTTCCAAGCCTGCAACAACGAAACCCATAACCAGGATCACAAAGATAGAAAGCTCTCATCGCGTCAGGGCCAGCTCAATCATAAATGATGGCCTTCAATCTCTGCGTCAAACCCACATTGCATCGTAAGCTCCTCTTCCAATGTTGATAACGTACATCTTAACGTCCTTTTGCTACCAGGTAGTAGTTTGCACATGGTCAAGAGATGTTAGACCACGAAAAAAAAATTCCTGAGACAAACAAATGCATGAGCATCTAACCAATGCACGAGGTGTGCTGAGGAACCAAAGAGTCCGAGAAGCAGATAGCCGTTCCTGTTGCCTCAGAAGCAGAGCATCAGAAAAAAACTGTGGAAGTCTCTCCTGTTTCCCAGTGATAATGGAGCCCCCGAAAGCCGCAGCCATGAGTTTTAGAAAGCATTTATCGCCCAGAAGCCATAGATACGAGTTCAGGGAGAGGCTTCACCAGCTCTGGTTCCCCTGTTACACCGTCTTAAACTCCAATCCCTCCATCCATGCTTCCACCCTTCCCTTCCTTCCATCCTTCCATCTGTCCCTCCATCAATTCGTCCGTTTGTCCCTCCATCCACCTCTGTCTATGTCCGTCCACCCACCTTTTGCTCCTTCCTTTGTCCCTCGGTGCACCCATCTCTTGCGCCGTCTGCCCCTCCATTACTTGCTGTCAGTTCCTTGCTCTATCCCTCCCTCTCTTTCCGTCGCTGTCGCCCTCACACGGCCCCACTTTTGCTTTGTCCTCCTTCGCTCCATGCCACCACTCCTTCACTCCCTACCTGCCTCCCTCCCTCCATCCCTTCCCTCATTCTTCCCTCCTTCCATCAGTCTGTCTGTCCCTCCATCCATCTGTCACTTCCTTCATCCCCCCCTCACTCTGTCCCTTCCTTACTCCATCATCCATCATTTTCCCTCCTCCCTTCCTTGCTCCATCCTCCTCCACTGTCCGTCTCTTGTTACAGCACTCCATGCCTACACCTCTCCCTCTCTCACTCCATTCTTCCGCTTCTCAACTCGTCCCTCCCCTGATACGTCCCCTCATTCTGTGCCCACTGCGTTCATCTTTGCTTTCCATCCATCCATCCATCCATCCATCCATCCATCCATCCATCGCTCCGTCTGCCCATTTGCCCGCCCCCTGCCCATCAACTGACCCATCAGTCATCCTTCCATCCATAACTACCCCATCCTCCATCCATCCATCCA